ACTTTTGTTTGATATTTGTCTTTGGGCAAAAAAAGTTCCAAAATGACTAATCAAATGTCAACACGTCATTCAAAATTCAAGCAAAAAAATATCCATGCAAATCAAAGTAGTAAAAGGTTATTTTTATATAATTATTAGTAGTTTAAACTAAAAGACTCAACATTATTTGGGATCAAACGTGTCATGGTAAAAATAAAAAAGTTGAGTTTTTTACTTTTTTTTTAAAAAAAAAAAAAATACTTTGAAAGTCAATTTTCATTCTCGGTTGTACATGTCAAAATTATCAAGAATTCGAAGGTGTACGTTGTGGATATATATATTATAAAGCTTCGTCGACCGAATTTGGTTAAACCGAGCCATTAAATAAATCAAACTGAATCGAGTCGAACCAAACTGAATCCATCAGTTTCATGTAACTTTTCGTTCGGTTTCAACTAGTCATTAACTATTCCATATTAAATAAGGGTTTGCAAAATATTTGATATACCAATATATAATAAGAATTTAATAAATATATAGCATAATTAGTTGGACTTATGATTGCAATTTTGAATCTCAGGTATGATCTATATTTGTTTACCAGTCTAAGTTAACCAAGGTTTTTTTACCTTTTTCTTTTATTTTTTTATTTTTTATTTTTGTTTAATTAAATAAATTAACTACTCACTACCAACCTAGCTAACTGTCCAGATGTCATTACCCTAGTCTAAGCTTCAAAACCTTAAAAAATAAACAATAAATTAATTATTACCCTCATGAAAACTTTAAAAAAGAAACAATAAATTTAGTACTTACCACTTCATTTCATTGACCCACAAGGATGATATATGTACAATGTATGTATATGTTATGGTGTTATAAATAAAAAAAACAATTTTTAAATGTGAGCACCATGAGAATCGTATATGATACTACTTTTAATTTTGTATATATAATGCATTTTTAATATTATATGGTGTTATTATTTAAGCAGACGATATTGTATATATAATATTGATATATTAAAAAAAATCAATTCTTGATTCAAAAATAAGATTATCACAGTTAATCATGATGTTATTCATAATTAAGAATAACATTCTCACGATTAAGTCCACTGTTAGGCAAGATTGATGGATATATAGGCGATCATACTTTAACAAATATGCATACTTTCAAATTAGAATGTCATACTCTAAAAAACAATGTTAATATAAAAGTATGATATTTTTATATAATAAATGTACATATTTATTAAAAAATAAAATAAAAATACGACGATTCAACCTGCCTAACGGTTAGTAAATAAAAAATATAAGTATATAGATATAGAAAACAAGTGTGTGGGACCTTTGATTTTCTATTCATCAATATTTTTCATATGTTGGATTAGATTAGGCATCTTCTAATTATACCCCTTTCCTGCTCTGAAGGGATTATGTAGTCTACCTCAAGATTTCACTTAAAAATATATGCTAATTTAATTTTTACATTTATAATTAAGTAGCCCTACTTATTATACTTTTATTAGTGTTTAAAAAGTAAAATTAATAAATCATGAAGATATTTTTAACTTATGCTTAATTATTGTTTAACAGTTAATTATGAGTTACGACTTAATCAGTATATATAATTGGATTCAAAGTCGGTAGAAATTTGGGATTTTCGGTATATATAGTTCAATGTGACTTCAATCAATTTATTTAATGTTTTAATTATTAGTCTCTTGCTCAACCTTAATATATAATAATAATCACTAAATTATAAAAAAAATAAAAAAAATTACTGTACATATAGAAAGTGTTAATTAAATTGGAAGGAGAAGCATGCAATTGTCTTCTAAAATATGTCGCAGGTTGTCTTAAAGGACAGTTCAAAGCTAAAACACAATCATTTTTGCTACGAAAATTTTTTGGTCAAATTAATACTGTAGTCCTAACAGCTTAATTACAAAGCGTGGTGAAATTTATTTAGCCATTATATATATTCTTTTTAATTAAGAGTATGACATTTCAATTAAAAATATATGTATGTTTGTTGAAAAAGCAAAGTCAACTAAACACGAGACACACGACAAGTTTCTTGTGTGAGACGGTCTAATCATTATGCGGTTGACAGTACCCGTCATACTGCTCTAACAAAAACGTATACTCATATTATATTATGTCGATCCATCCACTTGCTCCATAACAAAACCGATCATATGTAAACTCGCTCAAAATTCAAATATTTTCTTTGAAAGATAATTTCACATGCTATCAAGAAAATATCTCCCAAAATAGAAATATATGAGCAAAATCCCAACCCTAATCACTGTGTAATCTTAGTCATTATAACACAGAACAATTAACTGAGACCTGATTTGTTGCAATCTTAAAAGGCTATTATATAAGGTTACTTTTATAAGCAAACAAGTAACTGTGTAATCCAAGCAAGTGGAGTTTTGTTTTGGGGCGGTTTGTGGGACCGACTCCTCTTACACAATATTATTTTTTTAATTACCAAATAATGATTTCAGATTGTCTAACGGTTAGTCAATCATAATTTCTTTAAATATATATATATATATATATTTTTATAATATATTATATATTTGTTTATTTTGTATTCTAAAATATGACATTTTGTATGAAAATACTATTTTTGTTGGAAGAGTATATATAACTGACTAACCATTATTAAGTTAAAGACCTGTTGCAATGTGTTCGAAGGTGAAAAAAATTGTAATTAAATTACAAGATTAAGCATTTAAATAACAATAATTGTACTATGTGTGACAATATAATAGGAACAATATATATTTTAAATAATAAGCATTTAAAAATGTGTGTGTTATAGGTGATGGGGTAACCTAAACTTGAAAATGACTTAACAAGCTTCTAGAGAAGATGGCTAAAGATTAGGGACCCTTAACTAAGGATGATTATGACATTCCTCCACACACACACACACACACACACACACACACACACACAAAAAGTTTGTATGTATCCCTTTCACATTTTTCCTCATATTTGAGACAAGGATCAGCTCTCATGATTGCTACACTTTCAATTTCATTCCATTGGTCTCTTAAGTTTTAGGAGAACAAATTGTCTTCAACTTCTGATATTTTTCTTCCTCTTATTAGTTTACTTTGTGTGTGTGTGTGTGTGTGTGTGTAATTATGACCAGGCTTAATTACCATTTATTCATTGAGGTGAAAGATTAGGTAGTGATTAATGACTCAATGAGAGTCAATTATTAAGGACATAATAGCAACACTAAACACAATTAAAAAATGACATTATGACAGCATTTTTGGTTTATTTTTACTCTCTCTCACTCTCTCTCTCTCTCTCTCTCTCTCTCTCTCT